AGTTCAAATATCATATAGTTCCTCGTTTTAGATGTTTTTTATTGTTCATACTTGAAGTAAAACTAAGGTAATGTAGTTACCTTTTCGGAAACAGAAACAATGCACCTCTCTGTTGTGTGTTGTAGGCAGGGACCTCAGAGCCTAGCGGGGGTCCAGGGGTAGATTTGTGGGGTCCCTGGAATTATACGGTACCTGCTCTCCATTAGAGTCCTGTACTTTTGAAAGCTTATATTTGGTTTCATACTTTTAAATGTTAATGTTCTTAACATACCTCACTATCAATATTAATATTGTCATCAGAAAATCAATTGCTTATGCGGTGTCTATTATTTAATAAAACATTTGAGCGTCATGGTTTGGCATTATCAATCATGGTTGTTTTAGTAATAGTGATTTTGATCATTGGCATCGCCGAGCTAATGCGCACATATATATTTATCAGGTTTTTAATTTTCCGTAATCGAATAGTGAATCAATCTAATAATTAATTAAGGTTACAAATTAACTGTAACTATGTAACTGATTCGCGAGCCGAGTAGTAAGTTGGCAAACACGTAGTTTTCCTACTATACTGTATTCTAACGGGAAGCATTACAGCTCCCGTCTTAACAAACTGTAAGCTAAATATTTACCCTGGGAGTGCGGGGCTCCGGCGCCCCTCACTTCAAGGAAAACCTGGTTTGGGTGCAGGATCCCTATTATCATCAAGAGACGTAGCACAAGACGCAAACACGGAAGGTGAATAGTTGTCCCCGGGGCCAGGGGATGGTAATGAAGAAAATTGTAGGTGCACCGTTAAGCACAGCTGCAGCGCGGAAGTTATCACGATCGACTGCTGCTAATGGCTACCATAAACGTTGGTATCAGTAAGAAAACTGCAAAGATTGTGGCATTGTTGTACCGTTATACAAGGAAGAGGGGAACAGGACTTGTATTGTGTGGTGTCCCCGCGTGATTCGTGATGAACTAAACACCTTGACCACTGGCACCACAAGGCACCAGGAGCCTTCGTGCCATCCGGGTGATACAAAGTGCTCAGCTCGGCACAGGAGGTGTTGATGACGCTGCTGCTCAGCCCCGTTCATGATAACTGGTTAGGGTGTGCACTTGTCCTTGTAGCCCCCTCTTCTTCCCTCCCGCTGCTCCTGCCAAGGCCAGCGCCCCCCACCCTCGTCCCAGCCACCTTCTGGCAGGCTGTTTTACCCACCCTGTGCCGCCAAGGCCACTGCCCTCCCCGCCACCCACCTCCTGCAACTCCTACTGACATATTCACAGTTTAAATCGACGACTGTCTTTAATCAGACAAGCCTAAAAAAATTATTGGTAGATTACGCAGCGAGCATAAACTGGTAAGAATGTGTAGATATTTATTTCCTCGTTTCAGGGCACCAGAGGGTAAACACGAAAAGTTATGCAATACTGAGTCATTCATATTGCGAAGGTGAGGGGGGGTCCACCACTGTAAGGACCACACCCAGGCCAGCTGGGGTCACCACACACACACACACACACACACACACACATATATATATATATATATATATATATATATATATATATATATATATATATATATATATATATATATATATATATATGTGTGTGTGTGTGTGTGTGTGTGTGCGCAATGCAAACTGGAGTGTCTACTCAGGAGCTCATAGAAGTGGCTTCATTTATTTATTATCATCTTTCAGTAGATGAACCCAGTATCCCTATTCACAGCGTACTTTAGGGACTACACCTGCACTGGTTTACCATTGTGAACTAGCCGGCACCCTCCTATTACTGCACTTACTGGGTGTTAGTTAAGGCTGTGTTGTTAGACTGGCCACCTTCATTACTACTACCAGCGTTAGAGATGCTGGCTGTGAGGATCCTCCAGCCAAGGTCACCGCTCCTGTGATTGTTTCTGCTGTAAATAAACGAATTCAACCACGAGATAAATTATTAGTATAGAAGCGCTAAATGGGCAAGGAGAAAGGGACTGGGTTACTTGGAGTAACAACGAAAATATGTAACGAGGAAGAACAGCTTTGTGTCTGGAATCCTGTCACTATAATTATGTACAGTAGTCTCTTGGGTTGTGCTATAACAAAGGAATCCACTGGTATCTATTTCCGTTGTGTCCGAGTTTTCACCCACATTTACACTTAAGAAACAAGTCTTACTAGTATTGAGTGACCTTTTTCAAATAGATCTGGGAGGAGCATTAGAATACAGTACGTAGATCAGCTGAGAGCCATACAGTAGACATATGCAATTAATGAGGAGAAATTTAACAAATTATAGTATAAATAATGAGGTAATCAATAGAAGAGACAGGCCTTGCTGAGTTTGGGGGCGTGTGCCAGTTCATCTCTGCTGCTGCTAAGGGAAGTGCTGGTGTCGTGGCTTACTACGCAATACCTCCCGTCCGTGGCGCCACTCCCCTTCCCACCCTCCAGCCACCACTACCTCCGCCTACGCTTCCTCATACGACGATGTGTCCTGCCCTACAACAAATCATCAACTTTGGAGTCAAACACAAAAATGTTTACAATAATTATGTAACAGTTGCGAAGTTCAGTACACGAGAATATTAAAGATTACAATGACCAAGAAGTAAAGGGGGATGTGTGTTATGGGTCTTTCTTATCGTTATGTTGAGAGGCGAAGCGCAACCAAGGTTAGCAGTGTGGATGTGGTTCACTCCGTGCTCGTCGTCTTGCGTATGAGACTTGAACAATGCCCGTGTAGCCTAGATGTTGTAAACTACAACAAAATACTCGGGCAGCATTCATTGCACACTTCCTCGTCGTGAGCACCGTTGGCTCATTCAGTGGGAACTAATTCCTCTCGGTGTTTCCTCCATCGTCTTAGTGTGTTTCTATCAGTGATGCTGTATCACCTTTTGACTCATCTTGACCGTGTATCAATATAGGGCTGTTCTTGCTATTTGCGTATTGAGTATCATTATATTTATCAATAAATTGTGATTTTCCTTTTAAAGTAATTTCTATTTTCATATTATTGTTATATTCTCTCGTTCATTCATTATTCTTTCACAACATTCTCAACTCTTCCTGTACTGCTTTACCTTATTTTTCATTACTTTTGATTTACATATATAGTATTTATTTCACTCAGCGTCGCGCTGTGTTTCCCAAGTCTCAAAATAACATAGATATCAGCATTGTCTTTAGTGATGGAGAATTTTGTGGAAAGAGAGAGAGAGAGAGAGTTAGGGTGTTGGAGATAAAGGAGTGTCAAGGGATAGGTTTGCGTTTAGCAGCACATTCCCAAGGTAACCAGTCCGACCAACCACCGACCAGCTTCACCTGGGTTAGGTTGGTCGCGTATTCCCGAACTGCCCCGAGGTATAGGCCGATCATTCATATAATCAGCTCCTTATGGGCGACGTAACTCGTGACGTCATTAATAGTTACAGTTTCCGACCTAACCTAACCTCACCCTACGTCCCAACCCCACCCATGTAGACCTGGACGCTTTTCCGGTGGGATCAAGTTATCGAGTCTTTCATACTATACATTTCATTGGCTAATTCTTTAACTGGTATGTGATTGGTTAACTGTAAAATCCGCCTCCTTACACGTATATCCTCACCGCTCTGGACCATTGTGAGGCCTGTCTACTGATATTTATAAATAACCTTGTTGGTAAACGCATCCTCTTGAAAAATACCACTTCATATTATTTCAACCTTTTGACTGAGCGAATGACTAAAGTATGTTAGGTTAGGTTAGTTTTTTCTCTACACATACACACGAGTACTATCTGGGATTAGAACGACCATCCCTGTTACCTCTTTTGTCTTGGGTCCCCGTTTGGCAATTTTGACTGACCGGGAGCTTTTCCTTGCTCTGTGTTATTTAATGAGAGATTGCAAAGACGCAAGAAGACTGCTGATATAGTTGGACTTGCTTTGGGGACACCTGAGGACCAATTTATGGGTGAATCACAGCGAGACAAAACAGCAGGTGATGCTCTTCATTCAACCTATTCCTCGACTTCACCTTCATGACAGGAAGGACGGATAACCCCTCTTCGTAGCCTACAGTTGTTGCAGGAAATGATAACAATCACTGAATAGCGGTTTGAGACTGAGCTGGGTTATTATTGATCCTGCAACACCGGAACTTGAACAGACTCATTGTTTCGATTTAATAATGATGCCGAGATATTCCTCATGTGCTACTGCATCTTTTAATCTTCATCAACTGGAACGCCATCACCTTGGAAGAGAAATGGATTGTGAACTATTGGATATTTAAATTTGTTTTTATCCAACTCCGGGTTTCGTTTGGGTGATTGGAAACTGGTGTATTTGATTAATAGAGAATTCGAGATACAGTATATTAATCTTTGGAGGCACTTAACTAAATTTTGTTGACCAACACTGAAACACGGAATAGTTTCTCCACAACAAGAATATGAAAAACTTCTTTTCAGGAAATGTAAAAATGAAAAAAAAAAATATTTATGAAGAGAAAATGTGAACTAAATTTTGGCTAAGATAAAACTATTCTTTAGTTTCAGTTTAAAAATTTCTTGGGAATTTCAAGCGTACTGTGCTGGGTAATGCTTCAAAATAAAATATACGGTAGGTGGGCAGCCCTGGGAATCACGGGTCTGGGAAAGCCACAGCACTTAAACTGCCAACATAACTGCTGTGTGTTTTGGCACTGTCAGGCACACACTGAAACACGTGTTTAGTTATAGTAATTCGAAGAGGAAAATTTAATTGATAAATGACAATATAAGAAAAATATATGTCTACGTGAAATACGTTCACTGTCCTATACGTTAGTGGATTAATTAATGCACATGCATTATTATTAGTGATTCGCCGTATAAAATATAACTTTAAAACCTTATTTATATATATATAATATATATATATATATATATATATATATATATATATATATATATATATATATATATATATAACGTGAACCCTGGTGTACCAAATTATAACCAGTGTGTATTTGTGGTCACAGACCTGAGCGAGTGCCAGCTGTGCCAGTTGCCGGACGCCGTCTTCCACCTCATGAGAAACACCCCCCTCACTACCTGCAACCTCTCTGGTAACCTCCTCTCCAAGATCCCTCCCAAGTTCGCACTCAAGTTTTGTCTCATAACAGGTAAGTTTCCCTCAAATCTTGTATTGTTATTGGTAAGGTCCCTTAGTACTGACTTACCACTTAAGTTCTATGCAAGATCTACCTTACCACTGCTCACCTGTCTTGTTGACTATCAAGTTTTGTCTCATTATTATATCTCAGAATTATTCAAGTTCAATCATGTCACTGTTACAGTACGTTTGCTCTCGAGTCCTGCCATATTGCTGTTAAATTACGAAGTTATCTCTGAAATTATTAGGTAACAGCCGCCAAGTCTTTATGTTTGCCCCTAAGTTATTTTCTGAGGATGACAAACAGGTTCTACCTAATCACAGGCAAGAGAAAAGTTCCTCCTCGTCGGTGCGAAGCTATAGGTAGTGCGGCAGTACACATTAAAAAATACGAGATCAAGTGGATAGCTAATAAATTCACTCCAGCTGTAAATTCTCCTTACCGAGTGGCCACATTCCTTTCAGATTCATCCATAAATACCATTGATTTGACCAGGGATTTATTGGCTATGCCTTCGTGGTAGAAAATTTTGTCAAGGGGCAGCCTTGTTGACGTGAGCAACGGTGCTGGCTGGTGACATTCCGCTGCCCGGCCGACCCCCTCTCACCGCACCACCTGTCCTCTCCCCACCATCGTCCCTCTCTCACCCCACCACCGTCCCTCTCACACCCCACCACCCGTCCCTCTCTCACCCCACCACCCGTCCCTCTCTCACCCCACCACCCGTCCCTCCCCACACCCCACCACCCGTCCCTCTCTCACCCCACCACCCGTCCCTCTCACACCCCACCACCCGTCCCTCTCACCCCACCACCCGTCCCTCCCTCACCCCACCACCCGTCCCTCTCCACCAACCACCACACCCCACCACCTGTCCCTCTCCACACACCCCACCACCCGTCCCTCTCTCTCACACCCCACCACCTGTCCCTCTCCACCACCCGTCCCTCTCACCCCACCACCCGTCCCTCTCACACCCCACCACCTGTCCCTCTCTCACCCCACCACCTGTCCCTCTCTCACCCCACCACCTGTCCCTCTCACACCCCACCACCGTCCCTCTCACACCCCACCACCGTCCCTCTCACCACACCACCCCTGTCCCTCTCTCACCCCACCACCCGTCCCTCTCACCCCACCACCCGTCCCTCTCACCCCACCACCCGTCCCTCTCAACTCTACCCCACCACCCGTCCTCTCACCCCACCACCCCACCACCCGTCCCTCTCTCACCCCACCACCCGTCCCTCTCTCACCCCACCACCCGTCCCTCTCTCACCCCACCACCCGTCCCTCTATCACCCCACTACTTGTCTCACCCAGTCTGTCTCCACTATCCATATCTTCACCACCGTTGTTCTTAAGCTAAACTGTTGTTAGCTACTCGAATCGATGTAAAATTTGTCAAAGGAATCACTCGTTCTTCATTGCCGATTGTTGTGACTGCCATTCTTAAAGCAGCCAGTGTCATCACCATCAGCCAGTACTCGTGAATGAAAGCCATCATTATCACCTGTGCATTTTCACATATATTTCATTATCAGCATCACCTGTTGTTAATCATGGCCGTAAATCGTTGTCATTATCACGTATCGAAGAAATGGCATACATCACCCTCAGCCAATTTTCCCAAATCTTCACCATCATCATCACGTGTCCACCATCAGGGCCAACATCACCATCACCACACCAGGGCCGTCAGGTTCGTGATGTAGAGCAGTGTGCTGTGTCACCCACCAACACCGTAGGAAACACTTCACCGGGTGGTGTTGGTTTTTGACTCTTATTATTATTCTTGGGAGTCCTTGGTGTCACAGTACGGTCATTCCGCCACGTTTCTATCTCACCAGCGTCCGAACTTCAACTTTTATTTTTTATCCTAAGTACCGCACATGATTTCCATCGTTACCATGTACCTAGCCCCTGCCTCCTTCCCTCCCCCTACACACTCAAAGTCACGCACTCTACCACCACCACCACCACCATCGCTTTACACTAACACCATCTTTACCACGAACCTTCCCCTCCCTCCTTCCACCAAATACACAATACCAAGCATTCTACCATCATATCTACCAGTGTACGCGCTCAACACCTTCCTACTTCTCATCACCACCAATATCAACCCAACTTGCCCCAGCCGCTTAACCACACCACCTACTATTTTACCTTGACGCGCACCACCATACCCTGTTCCTGACATGGGATTTGGCCGGGCGCACCAAGAGACGTTAGAGCCACCTGCAACCATGAATCGGGCGAGTTGTGGGAGCGTTGGCCTATACCCGCCCAATCCCAGCCACCCTGCTCCCTCCCTGACACAAGCATCCCAGTGTGTGTGTGTGTGTGTGTGTGTGTGTGTGTGTGTGTGTGTGTGTGTTGTATACGTTTGAAACGCCATGGTAATCTTAAAAGAAGTGGGAGAAATCCACAGAAGTTCTAGATTATGATGATTTGAACCAAAGCATAGTGTGTTGTGGTGGTAGAGTGTGGACTGGCGAGGTGGTATAGTGTACGTGGGGATATACAGGCTAGGTGGTAGAGTCAAGGTGGGGGTTTGCAGGCTAGGTGGAGGTGTACAGGGCTAGGTGGTAGAGTGTAGGTGGGGGATTGCAAGCTAGGTGGGCGGCACCTGCCCAGGGAACAAAGGGACCCCGTGAGTCAGAGCGCCGCCACCCACTTATAGTGTAGTGTCCGGGTTGGTGCACCACTGGGCTAGTATCCCCCTGCCCACCACATCCACCCCCACCGACGGCACCTCTAGTCACTGATAACTGGAACTTCAGTGGTGTAGGGTAGTAGTGGTAGTTGCAGTGTGTGGGGTCCATGTGTTGTGAAGGGGGCTTGGGGATGTAAGATCAGTGTGTGTGTTTTGGGTGCGTGGGTTGTAAATAGTTTGGGGGATGTCACGGTAATGTATTGGGTGTATGTATTGTGAAGGGGGTGTGGCATGTAAACACTGTGTGTATTGGGTGTAGTAGTAGTAGTAGTGGGCGTGAGGGTGTGACGCAGCGGGTGAATTTCTGAGATGGGTGAACCCGAAGGGTCTGTTGCTGCGCTCCTAAGTTCTGCTCCAGTCTTGATTTTCATGACCGAGCGCCTGACCTCCTCTCGGCGGCTCTCGCAGAACCGTTGAACGCCACAAGAATCTAGGGCATAGAATTCCCGACCATAGGATACGAAGTCAGAGGATTTTGGACAACACGTCATTGGCCAAAGTATATCCAAGCACGACAATCGTATCCCGAAGCATAACCTTTCTGAGCACATCATCGTTGCCTAGGGTATCGTTGACCACACCATTCCATCGTACAAATAAAAGAGGATTGGGACGAAAAAGAGGTGGGGGAAGTATGTTAAGGAAAGTAAGTAGAAGAGGTGGAGGATGTATGTTAGGGTGGGGATGAAGGAAAAGTGGAGGAGCTATGTTACGGTGGGGAGGAGGAAAGGTTGGGGAGATATGCAAGGGTGGGGAGAAAGTAAAGAAAGGCGAGAGATATTTTACCGGAGTAAAAAATAGTTGATGAAAGTTAAGTGAGAGTAAGAAAAGGTTATTGAAAATATTGTAGGGTGGGTTTCGGAAGAATGGGTGGTGAGAGGCTGATTTAGGGTGGGGCAGGGGAAAGGGGATGGGGTAGGGTGGGGAGGGACGCGGGAAGCCCGTTGATTCACCTGGAGAGCCCACCATGGCACCGTGCCCAGTACCCCTTCCCTCGCCAAGGACTAACAAAAAAGTAATGTTATAACGCCACAAGTGCACCTCCGCTTTCTATACTCATTTAGCTCTTTATCTCAATACAAATAAGTACATTAAGAGACCATTGAAGGTATAAAGAGAATGTTGTGGGTGACACAGTGACCTGCAGACGTTAGAAAAGGCTCGAAAAAATGAAACAAAGAGTAGGGGGAAACCCAGCACGTGGAGTCTGGCGTTCACAACACAACCACGTGGGGTGGGTGCCACCCAACGGCGTCAATATCTGCGCAATATGTATCCGCCCCCTGTTGTTGACCACAGGCAATGAACTACATACCCAGAAGTCAACAATTTACTGCTGTTTATTTACATTATTATCAATTGTTGGGAATTGTATATCGGTGTGCTATTTATTTGAACACATGATGTGGGAGCAACGAGGCCTTTGCTATTTTCAGGAGAGTAAGGAAGTTCACTCCAATTTAGTGTCACTAATTACGGAGCAAGTCATTAAGTTTAGACATAGTAGAAGACATCCGCTATTCCCATAAAGTTCAAACTTTTTTGTTGATGAATCGCCATACCAGTAAACATGATGGGGGCGAACGAACGCCATCGCCAACGCAGGATCACTTACAGTCGGCACATCTTTTATTCGGATTTTACATTGGAAATATGCATTTTTGCAATATTATGTACTTATAAACAATTGTACAATTGTTTTATACAACGATATTGTTAGACGGCGTTACAGACTGTGAGGGTAATGTTAAATTAATCGGACCGTAAAATTGTACCTGAGTGATCACTGATTGACTGACATTATCGCTTGCATAAATTATAATATTGTAACACATTTTGAGGATTTATTTTGTACGTTAATAGAAATTTATGTTTCCTGTTATTATTTATCACATAATTTTATAATATTATTGTGACATGCCGATGATGCCGTATATGCCGCTGTAATACTTCACCTAAATCTATTAAATGGAGGCGAGTGGTGTGGTGTATCCTTTCGACCGCCACACTCCTTGGATGCGTAGAAATGGAGGATAAAACAAGCCTATCTTTCTTTGCCTTAAAACACACACACACACACACACACACACACACACATATATATATATATATATATATATATATATATATATATATATATATATATATATATATATATATATATATATATATTTTTTTATATATATATAACTTAGTATTGTTAGTTAAGTCGTTTGCTGTACATGCATTTCTTTGACCAACATCGTAACTCAAATACGTCATTGTTGGTATACGAAAGTCGGGTAGCAGA